TCGAACGTATCGAAGCCCCCGTCACATGGAAGGCCTACCTCATCTGCGCCTTCGCCTCGTTCGGTGGTATTTTCTTCGGTTATGACTCCGGTTACATCAACGGCGTTCTCGGCGCGCAGATGTTCGTCGATGCCGTCGAAGGCGCCAACTCCGGCCTCACTGCCGTCTCGGAATCTCACCAGTCCCTCATCGTCTCTATCCTGTCCTGCGGTACCTTCTTTGGCGCCCTCATTGCCGGTGATCTCGCCGACATGATTGGCCGCAAGTGGACTGTCGTTCTCGGCTGCCTCATCTACATGATCGGTTGCGTGATCCAGATGATCACTGGTCTTGGTGATGCTCTCGGTGCTATCGTTGCTGGTCGTCTCATTGCTGGTATCGGTGTGGGTTTCGAGTCTGCCGTCGTCATTCTGTACATGTCCGAGATTGTGAGTTCTGCTTACCCTTGATGAGCCCTCTTCAGGTTAGTCAACTAACCACCCAATGTCTGCAGTGCCCTCGCAAGGTCCGTGGTGCCTTGGTCGCCGGTTACCAATTCTGCATCACCATCGGCCTCATGCTTGCCGCTTGCGTCGTCTACGCTACCAAGGAGAGGACCGATACCGGTGTTTACCGTATTCCCATCGGTGTCCAGTTCATCTGGGCTATCATCCTTGCCGGTGGTCTCATGTGCCTTCCCGACTCTCCCCGCTACTTCGTCAAGAAGGGTAACCTCGCTGCCGCTACCAACTCTCTGTCCCGTCTTCGTGGCCAGGACCCCAACTCCGAGTACATCCAGGTCGAGCTTGCTGAGATCGTCGCCAACGAGGAATACGAGCGTCAGCTTATTCCCTCTACCACCTGGTTCGGCTCGTGGGCCAACTGCTTCAAGGGTTCCGTCTGGAAGCCCAACTCTAACCTCCGCAAGACCATCCTTGGTACCTCTCTTCAGATGATGCAGCAATGGTGAGCTCCCCTTCACATTCCTGATGAACCAGGATCGACAAAAATGCTAACAAAAAATTCAGGACCGGTGTCAACTTCATCTTCTACTACTCCACCCCTTTCCTCAAGTCCACCGGCGCCATCAAGGACGAGTTCCTCATCTCCATGGTCTTCACCATCATCAACGTCTTCTCCACCCCTATCTCGTTCTGGACCGTCGAGCGTTTCGGCCGCCGCACCATCCTCTTCTGGGGCGCCCTTGGCATGACAGTCTGCCAGTTTATCGTCGCCATCATCGGTGTCACCGTCGGCTTCAACAAGACCCACCTTGCCGCCGACGGCGATACGTCCATTGCCGACAACATCAACGCCGTCAACGCCCAGATCGCCTTCATCGCCATCTTCATCTTCTTCTTCGCCTCTACCTGGGGTCCCGGTGCCTGGATCTTGATCGGCGAGATCTTCCCTCTCCCCATCCGCTCGCGCGGTGTCGGTCTCTCTACCGCCTCCAACTGGCTCTGGAACACCATCATCGCCGTAATCACCCCTTACATGGTCGGTGAGAAGCGCGGCAACCTCAAGTCGTCCGTCTTCTTCGTCTGGGGCGGTCTCTGCACCTGCGCCTTTGTCTACACTTACTTCCTCGTCCCCGAGACCAAGGGTCTCTCGCTCGAGCAGGTCGATAAGATGATGGAGGAGACCACCCCCAGGACTTCGGCCAAGTGGAAGCCCACTACCACCTTCGCCCACGCCGCTGAGGAGGGCATGCTCAACGTCCCTGCCGAGAAGCAGGTTTAAATCGAGACCTACTACCTAATTTTTGGTGCTTGAGAGACGCTACTGGGTCTCTTTTTGCTGATAAACGAAGAAAGAGAAAGAAAGAAGATGGACAACCACCACCCACGCTTTTCAACCAAACACGGTTGGTCAGCGTTCGACAGAGAGCGAAAAGATGATGATGGATACCCCGGGGCTGTATTTGAGAGAGAAGCGAATGATTTTGATGAGCAAAGCATGTCGGCACGAGAACGATGGATGGGAAATGACATGGGTGAATGGGGAATGATTTTTTCTTCTGGAATATTGCGCGGTTGGATAGGCTTAAAGTTGTTTATGATATCTTGATGCGCTGGCAGGGAGGAGTGATGTACGATGGCGCTGGTGTGTGTGGTGGTTGTCCTGGTGTTGTTGGTTGTTGTTGTTGCTGTTGTTGTCGTTGTCTTCTTTTTCTTTGTCAATCCTCGATACCTTGGTATTACCGACTTGTGTTGGATACCGTAACTACTATACCACCAACCTTACTTAATTGATTATATCAACCGCATAAAATGATCTCCTTATCGTGAAGTGCACACTTGTGTTTTAAGATTATGGTTTAACGTTCGCGATGTCAAGAAGCATTCCACGGTACTTGCCCATGCCGAGAAGTAACGACACTCGTCGGCTGCAATCCCGTGATAGCTTCACGAGCAGAAAAGGGTAGCAAAAGGAGGGGCAAAGGGAGAAAGAAACCTCCGTTCCACGCCTTCAGTCCGGTACGGCAATCCACGCACTACCTGTCTCACCACTTCTTCACCAGTGATCTCGCGGTTGTCGGTTCCAAGCGTTGTTGAAGACAAGCATTTTCGATCAGGGCATCCATCTGGCATCTACCGAGACTGTGGCGTTTTCCGCACTACGCTAGCGCTGTCCACCTTGTTCCCGCCGACTCCCATGGCCCGTCGTTACTTAGCGAGCGCTTAGAAAATTTCTCTCTAGCGCACTAAAAGTCAACAAGAAATCCGCGCCACACATTTGACAGCCACTTGAACCGCCAAATGTCCCGTCAGATAGGGACATTTCTTTCCTCGCTTCTTTTCTCGGCTCTCGCTCTCGCTCGAGTGTTAGAAGTGTCACAGGTATCCGCGCCCGGGCTGCCTGCTGCCGTGCTCCGAAATAGGAGGAAGCGAATTGGGAAAAAGAAACAACAAGAACAAAGAAATCTGCCTGCCCCTGGTCTTGGACAACTTGAACAAGACATGGACATGGACATGGACATGCATGTTTCCTGTCTCCTGTTTCCTGTTTTGCTTTGATCGGAGGTTTTTGAAAAAGGAAAGAAGAGCTCAAAACACACCGCTTCTTTTTTGTTAATTTTGTTCCAGTTGTTTCCAGGAGTGCCGAAACCAGATTTTGAGTAACCCGAATCCTCCCAAAGACAAAAAGGCAAAGTGAGACTACTGTACCTCAAATACCATAGGGAGACAGACGAACGTGCGCTGAGACAATGAAAGCCGAATTGGGGAGGGTGTACAGCTAGTGAGGCTGGTACGGCTGGGAGGGACCTGGCTAGACTGGCTCCGATCACCGACCGATGGATGTGGAAGAAGGATTCCACTTGAGCGCTGATGGGAGGAGCCCCGAGACAAGCATCGTGGCATTTTTGCCAATTGCCTGAAAAAGAACAATAAATGGCCGGCCGTCAGGGGTGGTAACTGAACACAGAAACACAAAAGGCTGCATGCAATACCGACCTAAGCCTTGTTGTCAATTATCCAAGACGTTGTGTTAAGGGGTAAAGAGCGGAACCCTAGAGGGCTGGTTTTGGAGTAACAGTGACCGCCGTGGGACAAAAAGGGAGCACACCAAAAAAGATTGACGGGATCGTGCCGCTGATTGAAAGCAATATTGTAATATTGTGGAAAACCGAGGAATGGAAGACGCTCCATCGGAATGTTGATTCTTCAAAAGGGCCCAAGGAGGTAGAGAATGGATCATCTTTTTGGAGGTGATGTCGTGATACATACAGTACCGTGACACGCCAGTTCGGTGAAAGAAGGTGACACAAGATGCAGAAGACCGCGGCCGCCGGCGAGGGGGGATGTCTTCAGTTCCGATTAACGGGATAGCTGCTGGCAAAAAAAAAAAAAAGAGAAAAAAATGGTGAACCTGAGGTGATTCGCTGGTGTCGATGTCAATATCGATGGATGAAGATGCAATTCAGGAACAGGTCGTCGCAGTGCCCGTCGTCAAAGGCGGGAGCGGGAACTGCCATGCGTGCCACTCTTGCAGGTGAATGCTTGTCCCGGCTTGGGCCCTCCACTTTTCAGTCATTCGCTTAGGTTCCGGTAAATCGGAAAGTGGGGTGCGGTAGAGCGGGGGCGGGGGTCCTGGACAGAAACCCCGGAGCCGGACATCAACACCAAAGACCCCCCGATCACGACGACATTTGCCGGGCTTTGCCAGTCAAAAACCCCAGGATATAAAGGTGAAGCTCGCGCGCTGTACTTGGTTGAAATTGTCTCCTACTTCCAGGTCCCTGGTGTTTCAATCAGTCGCAGCCGATATCGCAATGCCGGCGGTATGACTGCTCTCCCATCGGACTGCCCCGAGAATCTTGAAATACTCCACCGTGTCCATTGGAGCCCGTATGTGCTGGCGTGGACTGGTGGGCTAGTTTCCCGACTTTCCGCATCCCCGTCTGAGTCCAACAACTGTTTTTCGGCAGTCCGATTTATCGCCAACCGACCTCCACTCTCCTTGAATGACGACATCACGAGCCGCCAAAGGGGTTTGACTGGCAAAACGGGGCCGAGTCGCCGACAACACCTCCCAAAGCTTGGGGGTTATCGTTCCTCCGGAAAAGCTTTGCCCACGCCCAGATCCTCCAAAGCAACATCGCCTCCTACCCCGCACAACGGCAATGGTTGTTTGGACTCTGTGAGCTGAAGCTGGACACGGCAATGCTCCTTTTCACCAAAAGACCCTCCCCAATATGGATAACCGGACCCCGAGGACGGGACCCTTCGACATGAGCCTCCTCCCGCCGGTTGGCCCCGTATTGCTCGCCAAATAACACGATAGGTGGATCTGGGAATGACTGGATGTCGGTAGGCAGCCATGTGAACAAGTGTTATATAGCAAAAGAGACGCCCATATCGAGCCGCCTTGCCTTTCAGCAGCTCACAGTCACACCCTCTTGCTTCTCGAAACCTTGGTACATACTGGGTCCGAAGCTGTCCAACACGGAATCACATCGAATCGAATCCAATATACCCGGGCCGTTCCCACCACGACACACATATAACCACTCAACGATGCCTCTTCCGGCCGGAGTTTACCGCGCGGACCACGTCGGGTCCTTCCTCCGCCCCAAGGCCATCCTCGAGACCCGTGAAAAGGTCGAGAGCCAGGCCGCCACCGCCGAGGATTTGCGCAAGGTCGAGGACGAGCACATTGCTATCGTCGTCCGGGAACAGATCGAGAACGGCCTCCAGTCCGTGACCGACGGTGAATACCGCCGCGCGTGGTTCCACATCGACTTCCTCCAGCATCTGGCCGGCGTCGAGAAGCGCGGCCATGTCGCGTCCACCAACGTCACCTCGCACGGCATGACTCCTCCCCGACTCGTCGTTGTCGGCAAGCTGGGCCACCCGAACGCCATCCAGGTCGACGACTTCAACTACGTGAACCAGCAGGTGGAGGCCGTCAAGGCCTCGTCGGGCGCCAGCCAGACCGTCACCGTCAAGGTGTGCATTCCCAGCCCGACCATGGTGTACTTCCGCGGCGGGCGCGACGCCATCGACGCCGACGCCTACCCCACGCTCGAACCCCTCTTCGATGACATCGCCAAGGCCTACCAGGCCGAGCTCGACGACCTGTACGCCGCCGGCTGCCGCTTCGTCCAGCTGGACGACACCAACCTGGCCTACCTCTGTGACGAGGGCATGAGCAAGGAAGCCGCCCAGCGCCACGGCAAGACCCCCGCCGAGCTGACCAAGCAGTGCGTCGACATCATCAACGCCTCCATCAGCAAGCGGCCCAAGGACATGACCATCGGCATCCACCTGTGCCGCGGCAACTTCCGCTCGCAGTGGTTCGCCCAGGGCGGCTACGAGCCCGTGGCCGAGACCCTCTTCAAGGGGCTCAACGTCGACGTGTACTTCCTCGAGTTCGACGATGCGCGATCCGGCGATTTCTCCCCGCTCCGTCACCTGCCCGAGGACAAGATTGTGGTCTTGGGCGTTATGTCGAGCAAGAAGGCCGAGCTGGACGACAAGGCGGAGATGATCAAGAGGCTGAAGGAGGCGGCGGAATACTGCCCCAAGGGCCTGGACCAGCTCTGCTTGTCGCACCAGTGCGGCTTCAGCTCGACCAAGGAAGGAAACGACTTGACGGTGGAGGAGCAGTGGGCCAAGGTGCGCCTCGAGGTCGAGATTGCCAAGGAGGTTTGGGGTGACGACTTGTCGCAGTAGATGGATGATACCCAGGAAAATCAGTGTCTGTTTAGTTTTGGAAGAAGAAAAAAATGTAGTTCAAACGCGCTGGCCAACACAGATGCCTCAAGATGCACCGCAGTTAATATAAGGATCGCAAAACGATTGCGTGGAAGGGCCCCAAGAGCACATGAGGCAGGAATCGAAGCGCCGATGGATGGTTTTCCGTCATTGGAACTTTGAGCCACTTACCTTACTAAGATGCATTCAAACGAAGCTCAATAGAGATTATCGCTCAAATCATTGTGAAACTGATGCAGTGCAAGCCATCACCACTCGAACACCGTCCCACCGTCTGAGTGTTAAAAAACAGAACAAAGGACAACCAGCCTATGATGTTTACCTAAATACATGTCATACCTGCACCCAACGTGAACAACCAGAGTGAACCAACCCATCACCAGCAAGTCGGATCCGGTACGAAGTATAGAAGATGGTCCCATCAGCTTGTTTCCACGAAAATCGAAAATCAGAAAGCCTCCTGGATGGATGGATGGATGGATGGATGGATACTTGCGGAACTATGGTAGGTAATAGGTCACAGGTCCACTTGGGTGATGATATGGGATATGGGCGATACAAGACCCAGCCAGCCAGCCATCTTTTCCTGGCGCAGACAGAAAGACATCATGGAAACCTTTTCCCCTATCACAATCTTATTCATAAGTCCTCGATACTCCACGTCACGAGCTGGGTGGGCATCATTGAATTACGCTCGCGCATACCTGACCTGTTCCTCAATGCCGCCAACACGAAGCAGAAGCAGCTCAAGCGGTTCATCTGTTGGCGTGTATCACCGGCTTGGCCTTTTCTGATGCGATATGCTATTTTTCTAGCGATTCGTCTTGGGAGATAGTGTCGCACCGCCAATGGACACACAGGACCGTTCGGCAACGGTTGACTAGGTATCCCTTTTGTTTGCGTTGTCCATACGGCTAACTCCAACCGTTGATGCAACCCTAATGATTGCTTGCTTTTCCAGACAATGACCGGCTCCATTCCACTTACACATTGTCGGACAATGAAATCGCGTGGAAATAACCAACGGTGGCGCCGCGGACGGGATAGCCCGCCTAGCCCGCCTGATGTCTAAACCTACCTAACCCGTTGCGTTTCTTTTTTTGTTCATCATCCCTTTTTAACTGCTTCCAACGACGTCGTGGTCTGATTGATGGAGGGGCTTGAAAAGGAAGAGAGCAGTTAAGCGATCTATGTCTATGGGAGTAAAGTATAACAATCACCGATGAATAGAGCTTGGCTGGGTGCCTGGTAGGTGAATGAACATATTTTATCAAGAAGTTCAATGGATCATTCCAATGATTCACGACCAAGAGACTAACTACCTAAATTCTAGATATGGAAAGATGAGGCGCACAACGCCTTTGAGAGTTCCCAGGTAGACGCATTGCACCTAGGATCTTCTACCTTCTTATGTTCCTGTTGGCAGTCTTCAAGCTGTTTACTTCTCTTCTCCTCCTCGTATTCCTACCACTAAGAGTAATGGCCTCAACCATCAGTGGCATGAGATCCCGAAGACACTCACCAAAATGACTTATCCCACTGATACCGACTCGGCGGTCCCCCGCCTGATCGTCACCTTCAGCGTACTGGTTTCCCTAGCCGGCATCACCATGGGCTTCAGGTTCTACTGCAAGCACCGCTACGCCAAGCAGCTAGGCGTTGACGACCTGTTGTTGGGATTTTCCTATGTAAGTTGTTCATGTCACACCAAGACCAACCGAAGTTAGCAACCGATATCCTAACAGATCTACCTACCTTTACCCACAGCTCATCCTCCTCTCGGGCGCCATCTTCACCGCCACAGCCATCAGCCGCGGGTTCGGTCAGCACATCTGGAACATCGAGCTTCTCCAAGACGCCATAACCTCCGCCCGGATAGTATTCAGCGGCGGCTTCTTTGTCTTTCTCGGCATCGCAGTGGCCAAGGCGTCCATCTGCCTCACGCTCTACAACATCGCCCGCAAGAAGTGGCAGAGGTGGTCGCTCGTGTTCGTGGCCGTGTCGGTGCTGATAACGAAGCTGTTGTCGGGCATTTTCATCTTTGTTTCGTGCACGCCTGTCCAAAAAAGGTGGAATCCGATGATCAAGGGGACGTGTTGGGATATTAATGTGTTATGTCGGTATTGGTCCTTTTCGGGAGGTGAGTTTGCTGCCCATGCATGTGGTTCTTCTTTTCAAAGTTTGGGCCTCACCCAAGGAAGAAGCCCCTGACTAACTGACTGCACATTAGCATGGTCGGCGGTGACGGATCTTGCTTTGGTGGTTCTTCCTTGGTCCATCATTTGGCACCTTCAGGTAAAGAGAACAGAAAAGATACTCCTCGGTATTGTCTTGAGCCTCGGGCTTTTGTATGTGTTCCTGGAAACCTGGTCGTGGATTTTGATTGCCGTGCTGACGAGAGGATGGTGTCTAGGACCGGTATTGTTGCTGCCATCAAGACGACGTACATCAAAGGTTCGGATCTGGAGAATGACTTCACATGTTGGTTAGCCATATTTCTTGTCAAACTCGGTGATCATGACTAACCTATTGACATGAGCCAGACGCGGCAGCAGATCTAGTGGTTTGGGAGTCTGCCGAGCTAGGTGTCGCCATCATTGCCATCTCCATCCCATTTGGTCGTCTAGCGGTGCAACACTACTTCAAGAAAAAGCGAGCACACTCCGCAGGAAACACCGCCAGTTGCGTCAGCGGAACCCGGGGCACACGGCTGGCCACCTCCGAGTCAACAATGGTTCGCATGGATGGCAATGAGACGGACGACGACGTGCCTCTTGCCCGGAGACAAACCAACCCAAAAGCCAATGATGCCGTCAGACCCGGTACAGTCTCAATGGAGCAGTTTTCTTTGGAACAGTTCCTGCGTGAGGCTCCAGAGATGCCGGGAACCTGGAGAGAGTCGGGCGGAATCATGCTGACGAGGGAGCTTTCGGTAGGAAGACATCGAAGAAATGTTTCCGATGAGGAGTTGGGATTCCGGGCCTGGTCACCGCCGCCGCCGTCGAATGTTTGAATGGGTGGAAAATCTGGCAAAGCAAGGGTGGGAATTGGTAGTGCGATGCTTGATCGTGACTGCCACGATAGTACTGAACCGAAATTAAAATTGTTTTGTCAACGAGGGAAGGAGGTCGTCAATGTTACCATACAATCTTACCATCACGTATTGGTTCCTGAACTGCGGGCCACTCCGTTGTGCGGAGCCCGTGAATCCCCCATGCAGCCCTATCAATTCATGTCCACTCAGCGGAGGATACAGCTGGTACAGTGTACGTACATACACGTACGTTGCGTAATTTACCACAAACATCCAGCCACCCCTTTAGACAAGAATTATCAGTCCAAACCATGGAGGTCCTCACCGTCCACTACACATCTCATCTCAAAAAAGAAACTCGATATCTCTGGCAGTCCTGGCCAACTTTGCTCTTAGTTTGCATTTATTCCAAGACTCTACAAGGCATTGCCCTGTTTCGTTCTTCCCTCGACCTCCGATCAGTCAGTCAGAATTGTCGTTGTTAGTTTCGGCTGGTTCTCCTCGCTTATCTTCTGCCTGACTGATGTGCCATTTTTTCGAAGCCGCAAAAGATAACTAATACTTAAAATGGACGCCGGTGCGAATTCCAAGGACACTCTCAACGACACTTCCAACAATACTCCCCACGGCTCTTCCAACACCTCGCACAATATCCCTTCCAATTTCTCCTCTAACGACACTTCGAACAATACTTCTGGCGGTAGTTCCAATACCAATTCCAACGACTCTGCGTACGACTCATCCAACGGCTCTCGGGATCTTGCACCAAATGCTCCGGGTCTCGCCCAAGTTACGCCCGTCTGCTCTCGAAATCAGCTCGCCGCCAGAGATTCATGACTGAAATTCAAGTCTCAACACGTGACACTTGAGAGCCTTCTTCCTCTCCTCCTTAGGACATTTCGAACGACACTTCCAATCATATTTCCAATGACTCTTCCAACGTCACCTCCAACGACTTGCAAAACGCCTCTGAGCAAGATCCGCAAGCAACTCGTCGTCCGGGTTCAAATCGCCACCAGAGGTTGAGGTCGGCATTTCGAGCCCTGATTGAACCCCGCGACCCCCCGTCCTACCCTTCCTATGGGGGTCCAGACGCAGACTGTACGGAGGCCTTACGGGTCTTGCCCTGCTGCGGAGCCTGTTTCGTCGATATGGACAAACCGGAATCAGGTGGTGATCAACCGGAATCGCTCATCACAGTGCTGTATGGCTTGAAGGGCCAGCTTAGCTACGTTGGCCACATAGACCCATTCCCATCCTTCTTTCGCTCCGCTAGCTCACACTTCGGATACACAGTTGAGTCTGCCTATACCATTGTGGACGACAAATGGTGCCTCTACCATACCCACCCTCCCTGGAGACCACTCCCCTCGGTCAAGCGTGAGAGCTGGCCCTTCGATATTGTCCCACGCTACACCGCCATCGCTTATCACCACGATTGCTATGTCACCTTTCCCCACGCCTGTCCGCTTTCTCCAGAGTTAGCCAGGGAAAGACTCTGGCTGGCTTCTGTAGCGAGATATCCTGGTCCCCGTCCGTATTATTACAAAGTCACAAGTCCTACGGTCTACGACATGTCTGAAGTGGCCATCAGGGAAGTTGCCCGCGCGTACGGTCTGCCTGAACTGGCTACTTGTCCGACCGAACTTGTCCCGCTCATTCACGAATATTCCTCGCCAGGTGTCTTCCTATGGAGAGCTATCTTGACTTATACTTTGGCCCTGCAACTCGCTTCACTACCCGATCAAACTTTCACAGAGATCCCTCTGGTTGATATCCGGACTTTGGAGCGAGGAGACTTGCTTCTCCCCTCCGATTGGAAGCACGTGTATCCTACCAATAACGTGGAGTCGGTCATGCGTATCAAGGTTGATAACCGTGGCATCAAGGAGATTCAGGGGCTTCCTCGCCATCCTTCCTTCATTGGGGGTTGGTCCAACAATGTTGGCTTTATCGTCGAGAATGTTTCAACGTTACGTGAATGTACTGCCTGTGTAAAGAACGGCTTTCTCTGTCTCCGTTTTCCAAAGTTTTACAAGTTCGAACTACCGATGTGGGATACGCCAGCTCCGCTTTCCCCGGCCCATACCACACGCCTAATTACCGAGCGTTTTGGGCCTCCGCTCTCTCGATACTTCCCCGTTCACAAAGGAATCTCTACGAGCCACATCCTCAACTTCAAATCAGTCACTGGCTTGACTTTTATGTTCAGCCACAAGACGGATCTCAGATCAATCTTTGCCCATTACAACAATGAAACTGGTCATTACGACTCGGATGTTGTCCAGAAGCTCAAAACGAGGCATCTGTGCTACCTGCCAATTGCCCCAGGAGACGAAATTCTTAACATCGGCATTATTGAGCACGAGAACAGTCGCATCTTTGTTCGCATGCGTCTTACGGGGGACATTATCATAAATCTGAGCACTCATGATAGTATTGGGCGTCCTCAGTACGGGAGAGACCCAGATAGCAGGCCACCGGTGATTTGGAGCAAAACTAAACCTAGAGCGTTGGTGTACGGCCAAGGGTGTGGGCTTCATGAAGACAACATTATTTTCGCAACAAAACACGACCTTGACAATTCCGAAGGAATAGGAACACCGCCCGATGATGTTCGGAGTCTCACCGAAAGCAATATTAGAACCTGCCAATGCTCCAGACTGCCTGGCATTCACAACGTTCCTTTCAACGGGCTTGTGACTTACGCACCACTTTCGGAAGTGTTAGAAGCCCGGGTATATTATCTTGATGAAGGGATCATCTCTGAGGGAGCCTGCCTGGGCATCGTTTTCCGGTACCGCAACGGGGGGTGCCGAGCCGATGGTCATGTTTGGGATCTTGACGGTCGTACTTACAGTGATCCCACGCACTTTCTCGTCGGATCCAAATACGACTTGACGACGGTGGACTTTCTACCAGCATCAGGCGCTGATAAGCCACAGAGCCATCGCCTTACTGAAAAGGATGCTACGATACGCAGCAAATACAGGCCGATGAGAGGAACCATCTTTGCCTACACACGCTACAATGAACGGAAGATGTATATGCGGCTTCATATCGAGATCATAGACGAAGATATGTATCCCGGCACTGCGTCCGCGGAGAAAAATGAGGTGTAGTCGTCTACTTCTCTGTAGATTCTCGGATGGCTAGCCATCTCCAACCTGGGGACGATTTCTTCCGTTCCTTCTTTTTCTTTCTTTTTTCCTAGTTACCATCTTCTCCTCATCATTGAATTGTCGGGTGAGTATGCGATTGACCATGTCTTAGACCATAAGTTGTATTTGCGCTGAAGTCGTTCTGGATCTCTCACCTTTGATCTCGGGTTCCAGTTGTACCTGGCTGGCAACGGAACCATCGTAACCCCAGCTGTCTGAGGTGCATATCCGGTAGAAATTGAACAATATAATACTTGACTATTTCAATACCGGGCCAGAAGTCTTCCACGGCTAGAATTACACCAGGAGATGGTGTGTTGTGCGAGTGACAAAGTTTTTGGGTACCTGACGTGCGGTTTAGATAAGATATTAGATAACAGAGAATTGACTCCTGTGTTGGCGCTTCGGGATCTGGGGGCTGGCGGCTGCCCGTGGCATGCCATCTCTGGTCGACACGTGCTGAGCCAGGGGTAGAAACATGGCGAATGGGCGGCGCGACAGATTGCTTCCTCAAGTACTTGTAAGTTCCTTTCGCCGGAGAGGACCGAAGATTGGATGGATGGTGGGATCGCTGGTGCCTGAGCTTGGCTGGCGTCGGTTGCCTTGGGACATGACACCAAGGGAGCAACGCTGATGAGCCCAAGGAACAGACGGCCGCATGTTAACGGTCGGGTCGACCACAGTTCGGCAGGAGCTGGGAGTTGAGGTATCCTCACATCTTGACGTTGTCGACGACTTTGACGGGCTGCTTATCGGAGGACACGACGGGGCGCTTTTAGATGGACAAATCAGGAAAACTAATTCATTGATATAAGATGAATGAACAACCACATGTTCACGATGAAAGATCTCGTCATGACGTGAAGTAAGTGGAAGAGATCAACATGACTGTTTGATGCCGTCTGATAAAGAGCGATAAGAATGTCACTCCGAACCAAGTTCCGTTCTCATTCTCACGAAAAGCGCAGACCAAGGCTGGCCCAAGCGCCCAGCCCCAACAGAATCAACCAATGACAAGCTCTCCTAGACAGCATTGTGGAGAAGGCGAGACGTAATCAAGCGTGACCAAGCCCATCGCCCACTCCATTCCAATTTCGCAGACTTGACTCGGGCGGACAAGAGCGTCAGCGTCAACATCAACAAATCTGGAATCTGGAATCTGGAATCTGGAATCTGGAATCTCGGCTGAATCTACCCCAGAACCCCTTCAACAAACAATCAACCCAACGTGCCAACCTTTTGCCCACGCGCCCTTGATTGCTCCTGTCCCTGATCCTTCATGACGGCAACACCTTTTCTTTCTCAAGTTCTCAACCCGGGTAGTCAGATCAACAGCCGTGCTGCGGTTTGATTGTCTCGTTCATCACAACCAAAAGATTTCTGTACGTGTTTTCTGTCCTGGTCCCCTCTCTCAGACCCCTCGCCCTCGACGTCCGACGAAGCCCCCTTCTTGGCCCAGGCCTCCCGAGTCCGGGCCACTGCAGTCCACTTCCCTTGTCCCCAGTGCCGTGCCCGCCGTCGCCCTGCCCCGTCCACGTTCTCGACGCAGGGCAGCAAGCCAGGGCTCGTCGCAGCCAAGCACAGCTTCCCCTCCTCTACCCTCCCGTCCTGTGAGTGTGGGATGTTGCCCCGTGCCCCCCCGTCCCGTCACCAATCGTCACAACCACCAAGTCAACACCACGATCGCCCCTCATCACCATCATCACCATTACCCCGTCAACAACAACAACACTTCTAGCAACTGCCTTACCTCTACCCATTCCTCTGTGTACATACGTGTCGCGTGTGCGAACTGGTTCGGCTGAAAAATGCAAGCTGCTCCTGGACCCCTTGAATCCCCAACAGCAAATGGTTTGGAGAAGGTGCTTCTACCCTTCGACCCTCGGCGCCAAACATCGTCCCAGCCAGTCATTTCACGTGCCCCCCTGCCCTGTATCTGTTTCAGCTCAGCCCTTCCCTTCCAGTCCCCTCTAGAGACCTTGTGCTGCCCCTATCCCCAAGGCTACCTGCTCCTACGCGCCTGCCGCCACCAGCGGACCCTTCTTGCCCTGTCCTCGCTCTCTCGAGACTGCTCCCCCCTTCCTAAAGCGTGGCCGGACTGGGGCAATGCTCGTCGCTCATCTTACATCATCGCTACTATCATGATCCAACTTCTACCTTCACCTCTGCTGTTCTGGCCTCGCTCCACAAGCTAACGCGTTCTACTCCTTATTGCAGTCTTAAACATTAAGATACCCTTTGCCCGATCGATTTACAGGCTCATACCCCGATTCGATACCCCCCAAAGCCATTAGACGAAAAATCCGAGCTAGGCTAGACCACATCCGACCAGGACGGCCTAATAATCCGGTCAATCCGCAATTCGCATCCCACCCGCTTTTCAACCCCGCCGCATGCCCGTCCCCCGAACTTGCATACAACCGTCAAGAGTCACCTCAATCGTGTCCGGTGTCAGTGCTCCCCACCGCTGGCGCCCCGACGAACTCATAACATTCGCCCAACATGTTCTGGCGGTTCGGCGGCTACGCTGTTGCCAGCACAATAGACAACATCCTCGACCGCGGCGACTTTGCCCTTGAGGAGCTTCTTGATGAGAGCGACTTGATCCAAGAGCTCAAGCAACACAACGCGAAGCTTGTCGAGTATCTCCGCGACCAGGATGTTCTCAAGAGGTTGCTAGAATACGTTGTCGCTCCCAAGCTGGAGCCCGTGGCGGCTGCTGAAAACGACGAGGATGAGGAAGACGAAAACCAGAAGGGTATCGCCCTACCCTTTGCTCGACCCCGCGCTTCATCACGGGCCACCGATGCAAGCAACGATGATACCGCCGTCGAAAAGAAACGGAATCGCTATGCTTTTGTCGCGGCCGAGATTTTGTCGTCGGACAACTGGTCAATATTCGAGGCTCTTATGGAGAGCAAAGACCTGCTGCGCGAGTTCTGGCAATTCTTGAAGCGCCCTGCCCCGCTCGATCCCCTTCAGGCCAGCTACTTCACCAAGGTGAACGAGTCCTTGTTCGATAGGAAGACCGAAGAAATGATCGACCTTCTCAAATCTCTCGACAATGCGGTTCCCGATATGCTCAAGCACGTCGATTGCCCCATGGTTATGGACCTGCTGCTGAGGATTATCAGCTTGGAAAGAACCGAGGCTGGACATGGTATAGTCGAGGTAAGTGGATCACACCCCGTTTTAGGATCTTTCTTTTGCTAATAGTCATTATCCAGTGGCTCTATACCCAAGACGTTATGCCTACTCTGCTTTCTTTCCTCGGCCCAGAGCATGGCTGGGCAACCCAGACTTCCGCCGCCGATTTCATCAAGGCCATCATCACTGTCTCCGCCAATGCCTCGCAGAATGAACAGACCTGCATCGGACCGAATGAGCTCACACGACAACTTGTCTCGAAGCCCTGCGTGGAGCAGTTGATCAAGTACATGCTTGGTGGCGGCAACCCCCTCACGTGTGGTGTGGGCATCGTTATCGAAGTAATTAGAAAGAACAATTCCGATTACGACCCAGAGGCAACCGAGCCCAACTCGACCCCCTCAACCCGCGACCCGATCTATCTTGGAACCTTGCTTCGCATGTTTGCCAATCATATCCCGGATTTCGCGAACCTCATCATGAACGCCCCTGCGCAAAAGGAGCGCTTCACTTCCACGTTTGGTGATCATATCGAGCCGCTGGGGTTCGACAGGTTCAAGACATGCGAGCTGATGGCCGAGCTGCTCCATTGCAGCAACATGGGCTTGCTGAATGAGGTGGGCGCTGAGGAAGTTATCGCGCAGCGTGATGCTCAGCGACAGGTTCTCCGCACGCAGGGCCGGCTCGTGCCTGTCAGGGAGCAGGAACCCCCATCCGCAGCGGAAGATATCACCATGCGCTCGTCGCACTCTTCCCCGGCGGATACCGGCAGGAAGCTGGGAGTCACCAACACGTCGGCAGATGATGATGGCTTTGAGGAGGTCACGCATACAACCGACGAGGACATCACGCACGGCATCGAGGAGCTTCCCGAGGTTACCTTGCCAGGCCCAACATCGTCATTCCTGGATAAGGACGAGGACGACTTTGTTGACGAGCCGCTGAGCTCTCCCAGGCTGCGCGTTCGCGACCTCCATAATCCCATGGAGGATACAGCACCCATCAAGTTCGATGACCCCAACCTTGTGGTTGCGCCTCTTTCGCCCACCAAGACGGCATTCGTGCCTATCAGGACAGCTTCTGGTTCCGAAGGACAGAGCGACGCTGGAGACAAGACAGAGGAAACCTCTACCAGCAAGGAAGGAAGTGATTCGGATCCTAAGGCTTCCGAGGACGTTCAGTTGGAGCTTGGCGGCGGCTTGGACAAGCCCGTAGCTCCAGAAGAGATGTCTCCCCACCCGGATGACACTCCCGCGCCACTCTTTTCGACCTCTGCGCAAACAACAGACGCCTCGGAGCCTAAGCAGGTCACTGAAAAGGAGGAGCATGCGGAGACTAGTCAAGTGTCTACCGGCGAACAGAGTGGCCCTGATGCCACCATCACCCATGACGCTTCTCAGGCTGACAAGAAGCACGAGCTTGTAGTGGGCGACTACCTCAAGATGCAGTTTGTCGAATACAAGATTGTCCCCACGATCTTGAGCTTCTTCTTCTCTTACCCGTGGAACAACTTCCTCCATAACGTGGTTTACGACATCGTGCAGCAGGTATTTAACGGCCCTATGAAGGATAGCTATAACCATAAGCTGGCCATCAGCCTCTTCGAGACGGCCGACATCACCAACCAAATCATTGGTGGACAGCTCGCCAGCGAGAAGTCCGAGAACGAGAGGAAGACCCGTATGGGATACATGGGACACTTGACCCTCATCGCTGAGGAGGTGGTCAAGTTTACTGAGCGCCACGAGACCGAAGTTCTCACAGAGTGCATTCTGGAGAAGGTCATGGCGCGGGATTGGATCGAGTACGTTGAAGGCCCGCTTAGCGCCACCCGAACACGCGACAATGCCGTGCTCGGAGGTGTGCGACCGGAAAGTCTGATGGGCCGTTCTGGATCCGGTATGTCTGGTGTCGGACTTTCCGCTCTTGGATCGCTTGGTCTGAGTGGCGGTTCCAATGCCCTTGCCGAGGCAGGCTTGAACGGAGGACAGGATGTTGCGGACAGTTCGGGTGGTAATGGGATCGGGCCGTTTGCCATCAGCGCTGGTACTCTTATGAGCGGATTTGGCAGTTCGAGCGACGAGGACGAGGACGAAGAACAGGACAACGAGGAGGATGTTAACAACGAGGTTGGTTATTCTGATTATGTCTCATCTCTTCTCCACCCCCATGACATGTTCCCCCTAGGCTCAAGTGAGCCCTTGATTCCGAGCAAACGCGACCACGGCTCCTTCGTCGCCGGGGAGGAGCTTGCCGAGGTCCACCATGTTAAGGATGTTGATTTCGAAGTCGATGTCGAACACAACGAGACCTTCAACGAGACCTTCAACGAGCCCTTCGACGAACAAAACCACGAAGACGACCCAAGCAGCTATGGACTGGACCTTGAGAACTTCGAAGAAGGTTTTTGCCGACTTTGATGGCTGCTCTCCAGCCGCTGCTTGGAAAACGGAAACGTTCGCACAGCGACCCACTACCCAGACAAACCCGACCCCGCCAGCTCGATCCCCCGAGGCACTTTCACCAGTGATGCCACAACCTTACACCCAGGAGAGTTCTATCGAGCCTGCATGGGGCGTTGATGAGATCGACGCTCCACTCTATGACGATTTTGAAGGCCAATGGACGAGGCCGGAACCAAGTCCTACAGACGCACTCGAGCTCAATCACTTTCTTTGTCAAATCAACCGGATGATCCACTTTCCTCCCCCTCGAACAAAGGACGCCGACCGGATATGAGAGTCCGATCCCCGAGACTTTGGCGACGATGTTGCTCTCATCTGCTTCACATCGTCCGAGCTGTCAGGAGTATTCTTTTGGTTGGGGGTGTTGTATGATTAAAAGGGCGCCAAGGACATAGTGGGCTAGCAACTTCGGACACGTTTTCCTCTCATTTCCTCCTTCTCCTCAGTCAAGTGGATTCTTGTGATCCGGCCTCCTTTCTCGGGGCCGTGGTCAAATTTTTGTGACACCAAGGGTGCCGCAACGTCATGAAGATCCTATCTCTTGTTCCCCATGGCTCCTTCTACCGTTGCATATTACCTACATTCCGCTCGGTGGCATTCTCTCTGTCTCCAAGCCCTTACACGTATTGCCACGCTGTTGCCAGTCGCCGTGCCTGCCTAATGTTGCTCACATTTTCTTGATTCACATTCCACTAACCATTTCCTTTTCTTTCTTTCTCTTCCAGATACGAACAATATGCTAATTCAGCATGCAGTTCCGTGCTTACACCGACCCTCTTAACGCCAACCTGTCGAACTCGATGAACCCACCTTCGATTCCACCGCCACCACCACCTCCTCCCCCGCTCAACATCCCTCCTTCTCGTGCGCGTCTCCAACTTGCTGCCAGGCTAGCTATGAACAAGCGCAACGCTGAGGCTGCAGCGAATGGCGGACAAGATGGCGGCTCGGCTCAGGCTGACAACTCCACCGGTACTGGTACATTTAGCCTGCCAAATGAATCTGCTAGCGATCGTCTGCGGAACCCTTTTGAAGATGAGGACGAAGACGAGGATGAGGAAAACGATGGTAATGGGTCCGGCAGCGATGATGGAGACATGGATAACACGGCTCATAATGGCATGGGAGGCAGTGCGTGGAATCGTGGGTCCTGGTGGCGTGGTATGGTTCCTGGTGGGCAGAAGAACAAGGGCAGGGATGATAACCAGGATGCGGAGAGATTCGGGGATGGACGCGATAGTGAATCTGACGATGGAGGTGATGGAGGTGAGGTGGTGGATGATATCGATGACGAAGAGTTTGGAGACTTTGCCATGCCCGAGGTTGAAGGCAACGGTCAAGATTCGGAACCTTCTCCCGGTTCGGGTGGTATGGTCTCTGGCATCGATCCTGCGCGGGAGAAGATCTTGGTCAAGCCACTCCCTGTCCATCCCAGCAAAAGCGGTAGTCCGTTCGGTAACCTGTGGCCTTTCTCTACTCCTGGATTCGGAAAGAAGGATGAGAAGGAGGCTATGGCGTCTTCGCCGGGCGAGCAGGGTTCGGAAAAGCAAAGGAAAATGCTGGCCCCGGAAGCGATGTTACCATAACCGAAGAACCTGAGGAGCTGGACGCTATGATGGAGGATCTGGTTATTGGCGAGGACGGCAAGAAGATCAACCGAGCGGTAGAGGCAAAGAGGAGGACAAGTATCGAGGATCCCGATGACGATGACGCGGAGGAGATCTTTGTCAGCAGGCCAGCAGGAGCACGCTGATCGATACCATACCCCTGGAGATGATATATATGTCGGTGGTTGGTTATTATTGCTATGGAGTACAAGTAGATGAGGTACAGATACACACAAACACGGTCTACGTTATGATTGGAACGACAGCGATGGATGGGTCGAAGCAAACCGGTGCGGGATCCCTTACTTGTTAAGCAATTTGTATTTCTAGCATTCAGACCTACAAAGCCATTACTTTGCAGTCGCCAACGTCCTTCGTCGGCATTGTCGTCCATATCCGTACTGCATGCTCACTCTACTCTCGTCGACAGTTACGTATACCAAGTAGGCGTCGGAATCTCTCCCAACAACACATACCGCCCAACCTCCCTCCGCTTATACGCCACCGGATCATGCAGCGTATGCGTCCTCAAATCCCGCCAGAACCTATCCAAGCCCACTTTACTCGCCGTCGCCCGCGACCCGGTAACCTCAAACACATCGCTAGTTACCTTCAGCCCAACATCCGTCACCACAATCTTGGCAGCCGCAATCAGCTCGCTGACCTCGCCCCTTTGCTGCGCCGTCAATTCCGCCCGACTCCCCTTTTTCTGATTATACGCCGCAAAAAGCTCCGAAACGGCCTCATTAGCCCGATCAACCAACGCCGTAGCAGCCAACAAATGGGCGTGGTGCGTACCGTACGTCGATAAGATATAAAACTCATCCGTGGCCTTTTCGGCAGGGGCAACGGTTTCGCGCTCGCCCCCGGACAAGTAAGGCCACGGACGTGTGCTCTTGCGCGTGTAACCTGCTGCGGCGTCGAGAGCTGCCTGGGTGATGCCGAGGTAGAAATTGGTAAAGACCAGCTGGATGGTAGGAAGCAACAAGGTGGCGTAGGGGATTCCCAGAACGTTTTCCAAGGGAGACTTGGTGGTGGCGTCCCAGCCTAGAGCGTCCTCCCAGTCGACGGAAACGTTGGAAATCTGCGCCGACCCGGACTCCGTCAGTCGCAGGCCGATGGCGTCCCAGTTGAAGGAGAAGGAAATGCCGGGGTGGGTGGTGGGCACGTAGGCGAAGATGTGCGCCCCTCCTGGTCCAGACTCAGGGAAGGATTCGGGGGAGAGGGCGCCTTCGAGCACGATCAAATCTGAAACGGCCGCGCCGGTGGTGAAGTGTTTACCCCCGTTGAAGATGATCTTGGTTTTATCGGAAGGGTCAGAGGTGATGACCAGATCACTATCGCGCGGGTTGACGGCGCCTCCCACAAAGAGGTTTTGGGAAGTGATGAGTTTGGTCCATTTGGCGATTTGCGAGGGGCTGCCGAGGATGGAAACGGAAAAGGCCCAGAGGAGGTGGTAGCCTAGGAGCATGCCTATTGACCCGTCACCCTTGGCCACTTCCCTTATAGCCTGGTACGCCATGCTCCATGGCTGTTCACCGCCGCCGTACTCCTTCGGACCAAGGATCTTGAGCAGGCCGGAGTGTTTAAGGAGAGCCACTTGGGCGCGGGGGGTCTTGTTGGCTTTTTCACGGGCGGCGGCGTCCGGGGCAAGAACGGCGGCTACGTCTTTGGCGCGTTGGAGCCAGTTGGCTGAGTCTGCGGGGAGAATTGACCATTTGGACTCGTATTCTTGATAGATGGATGGGTCGCTGGTTGGATGGACGGAGGACTGGATGGTAGCGGAGGAGGCCATCGTGCTGATGTTGAGGGTGTGATCTCGGTATAAGGTAAGTCAATGGGATCACGAGACAAAGTTACGAAGATGAGAAAGACGTGAGTGTCAAAAATCCAGGACGGCGATGGTTAAGATGGCGATTCACCTCCCATTATACGGTTTCCCAGGCTACACAGGCTCGTCTTGCGCCATCACGTTTTTCCTCCCTCCTCCAGTCATCTTTCTGTTTCAGAATTGCGCACTCAGACATCAAAATTTCGCAAGCAAGGAAGCTCAACATCTCATGATCTCGGGAGGAGCTGAACCCTCGAGATATCATCTTGGCCCGGATTTTCAGTACCAGACCACCACCACCGCTTTCGGACTCCAAGATCTAGGCTTCTGGCAAGTCATTGCTACTAAGCCTTGCCGTACTACCACCCTTTCGGCGACATCGAGGTCTCAGAGCTCTGTCATTGGTGTAAGTTTACTCGTCAGATGCAGGGCAGTATTGTGCAACCAGTTCGACGGATGATACCATCATGCCAATGCTCCCTTCCAAACCAAGTCGGGAACAAGATGATTCTCACGGTAACCCCTTACGGACCGCTCCAAACCAGAACTAGTTAACTGTTTACATACCGACATTCCGACATCTTTCTTGCAGTGGATCTCACCCTCACTGGAAATGCAGCTTATAGGGGAGTCAGCGTCCTGAATAGCGCCTTTCATATGCCCCGAAGCCGTAACAACAAGACCAAAGGATCGTCAGCTCCACCTTCCCCACGCCAAGCCCATCACTTCGCGATGAGATGGGTTGCGACTCAAATCACGTCATCTGGTCGCGCCATCCTGAGAACCGACGGCGTCTCTTGAACAGAGGAGCGACTTCGCACCCAAGGAGATCATGGAGATCTTCACGGATTTGGAAGTGATGTGGTATAAATACAAGACGGCAGCTATGGGCACGCCATTCGAGCTGAAATGGTGAATATCGAGCCTCGCTCTCTTATCACTTCAGCCAAGACCCCCTTTTACCATTTGTTTTCTAGCCCCTGAGCTGCCATCACTCAAAAGTTATCAACGCTTCGCATTCACCTTCCCAAAACAAACAATAATACCCCCTTGCCAAGCACACCACCCAAACAAATACAATGACCAACGCCAACACACTCAACAGCGACCCCGATAGGCTCTTCTTTGCGTAAGTTGGCACCTGTCTTGCACAATTCGCAAACCACCAGTGCTAACGTGAAAACAGCTACTGGGTCCCCAACGTCTCTGGCGGTCTTGTCGTCTCCAAGATCCCCCAAAACACCGGCTGGGATCTCAAGTCGAACGTCCGCTATGCCCGTACCGCCGAGTCCGTCGGCTTCGAGTACGCTCTCACTCAGATCCGCTTCACTGCCTCGTACAGTGCCGCGTCCCAGCACGAGTCTGTCTCGTTCTCTCAGGCTCTCCTTCACCACACCGAGAAGCTCAAGGTCATTGCGGCTATTCTTCCCGGTCCCTGGAACCCTGCTGTCGTTGCCAAGCAAGTGGCCAGCATTGACAACTACACCGATGGACGTATTGCTGTGAACATTGTTTCGGGATGGAACAAGAGCGAGTTCCATTCTAGTAAGTTCTTCTTTAAACCTTGAGAAAGAAGATGAGAGGGAGGCTAACACACAGTCTACAGTCGGTGAATGGTGGCTCGACCATGCCGAGCGCTATCGCCGCTCCTACGAGTTCATGAAGTGTCTCCGCGGGATCTGGACGGCCCCGGAAGACGAGGGTTTCACCTTCGCCGGCGACTTCTACCGGTTCCGTAACTACAAGCTCAGTCCCAAGCCCGTCGCCAACCCGCACCCGGAGATCTTCCAGGGCGGCAACTCGGACGACGCCAAGAACAACGGCGCCGAGGTATCGGACTGGTACTTCATGAACGGCATGGACCTGGAGGGATTCCGCACGCAGATCGCTGACGTGAAGGAGCGCGCCAAGAAGTTCGGCCGTGAAAACGTGGTCAAGTTCGCCGTCAACGCGTTTGTGATTGTCCGCGACACCGAGGAGGAGGCCATCCGCACTCTGCAAGAGATCCAGGGCAAGGCCGATGTCGAGGCTGTTGAGGCCTTCAAGAAGGAGGTCCAGAACGCTGGCGCGTCCGCGAGCAACAAGCAGGGCATGTGGGCGACTAGCACGTTCAAGGACCTTGTTCAGTACAACGATGGGTTCAAGACCAAGCTGATCGGCACCAAGGAGCAGGTGGCCGAGCGTATTGTCTTGCTCAAGAGCTTGGGCGTCAACTTGGTGTTGACCGGCTTCCTCAACTATGAGGAGGAGGTCGAGGCGTTTGGGAAGAACGTTATTCCCCTCGTAAGAGAGCTGGAGAAGCAGGGCAGAGGAAAGGATGAGGCGTTTGAGATTGAGAGGACTGGTGATGTTTATAGGAAGTAATAAAAAACGAAAAGAATTGGAAAAGCTGGGTTAACAGAACGGGTTTCTGCCTGGTTTTGGTATTATGATTAATGAAGAAGGATATATAGGATAAATGGTCTCATGGACTGTGGGCTTCGTGTCAGGACATGGCAAAAATTCAAGGCATTTCGTTTCTGTTCAGTTTCGTTCGTTGTATGGGGGCGGAATTGTGTTTGTCTGGAATGATTGAAGTTTTTGGCCTGGCCGTCGAAAGGTCTACCATGTCAGGGGCATGCCGCTGCAAACATGATCTTTGCCCGACGCAGGAGAAACAGAAAAGTGCTGAAGACTGCAAATCTAGATGCAGTCCCGTGCGGGTGTAAGATGATACTTATGAGAGTCGCAGAGTCAGCAGCGCGCGGCGAGAAGACCATGCAGATTGCAGAAACCGTATAAGGACAACCGCAGATTACAACAACTACATACGACCATACCCACTGGAA